GATTAACCCAAAGCTGAACTAGCACATATCTAAGGTGTTTGTCCATCTGTAGTACGAATGGGACATGGGGAATAAAAAGTAGGGATAGAAAAGGGAGGCATGTAAATAATAATTATAAAAAATAATAGTAAAAAAAGTGTTTCTTGTGTTTATACAGTCACTCTGCAGTCTCTTGATGCATCACTGGGCAAACAAATTAGGAATTCAGTTTTCACACACAAACAAGAACCCCTGTAATGCTTCACCATCTTAAGTGTCTTCCCTGGAACATCCTCCACGATGTACCTCGGTTGGACTAAAAAGAAAATGGAAGCTTGGTACAAAATGAACTAAATGGCACAGGCATCCCAACCATTTTGCTTATTATGCAAATCGCAAAGGAGGCTGTAGAAAAGCAAGATAGAATAAAGCCCTAAATCAATCATTACATACATCATTAATTGTATAAAAGTGCAAGATTAAAGTAGTTCAGGTTAGGCATTCAGTTCACTATAGGCCACACAAATGCTTAGCTTGGCCACCAATGGCCTGGTTTTGTCATTCAGTTACTAATGTTAGTTTAAACCACAGAAAGAACAACAACTGAATGAAAAACGTATGCAACCCACTTCAAAAATGGTTAGTTTTCTGTGACCAGCACGAAATATTAGCTCAGTATCATCAGCTATACAATATATACATAAAAATATTGTGTCTTAATCTTTGTTTTAACAACTTAGAATAAAGCTGTACTAAACACTATTTCCCTAGTGTGCCGACTCTTTGTTCTGTTCTGGCCGGCTGGCCCAGGAACACAGAGAAGTCCTTTTATAGCAACGGTACTTGAACTGATCCATAATTTTGACACTTCAGCCACAGTAACTGTTGAATCACTTTATTCAGACAGGCCAGATGATCGCATGTGACTGCCCAGGTCTTGGTCAAAGCTTCTTGGGTGGCTCCACAAGAAGAACAGGCCATATTCCAAAAACAAACTGTTAAAAGAAAACATAGGAAGAGGGGAAAGATTTCCTGGAATATTACATCTCTTGGAACAGAAGCCAAACACTGTTAACCATAATTTCTACTGCATTTCTTGGGATGTAAGTAGAAATCAAAGATTATACCCTAACAGGCATAATAAGTGCAAGTTCAAAGCACAAGATACTCAAATGTTGCAATGCATTAATGGACACAAAATACTGCTTGCTTACCTTCACCTTTGGCCTGTGTTTCAGGAAAAGTGTTCTTGTGTACAAACTGAGAAAAAGGAGAAAAGTAGGGATTAAAATTTCATGTATAAGACAGCATCTAAAATAATAACGATGTACTAATCCCAGTTTTATTTTCCAACTAGAAAAGAATTGCTTCTGTGATTGCAGAGCTACCTGTTCATCCTAGATTTATGCAAAATAGGAGACATTAGCCTACAGTAAATCCCTCTGTGCTAGACTATGATTAGCAAACTAACCTACCCTATCACCTGTGTGGTGAGAAAGAGAGAAAGCCAGGGAAGTAAATTCTAAAAAAGACTGAAGAGGGACTAAAGTCTGTAATTTTGGAAGGATGACATTAAATCAGTGCACCACCAAATAGAGACAAAGTTAAGGGGAGGATGGGGAAGCAGCATAACTTGACTCTGTATCTCATTTTTGTTCTTATACACCCCTTCTCCTCAGCAGATGTTTTCCTGTGTACGACTTCACTTTTTTAAGCAGACACAGGTGATGCCACAGTGTGGCTGAGAAAATACCAGGTGAAATACTGCAGGGAATGCATGTAATTCATTGAGGTAGGACAGACAAATCAGGCATCTGCACATTCCCCAAGAGGCAGAGGATGCAATCCCAAATTATTTTCCCTGTGCAGCATGCTGGGAACACCTTGCCAATTGTATCCAAGCTGCCTACATCAGCTTGCTTTCTCTAACGAAGTTTCTTCAAAAGATTATCTCAAGCTGTTTAGGGCAGCAGAGAACCTGTCAGCCAAAATGGAGCAGCTGCTTTCCACATACCATGACATATTTTATATATACACACACATATATATACACAGGTACATATAGATACACATCCATGTACATATGTATGTATATCATAGAATGGTTTATGTATATATTTAAAAAGTTAGCAGAATAGCTACTGGAAATGTACTTCTTCTCCTTTTACTAGCAATTTTAACATTTGACAAGCAGAATATTATGTTAAATGTAGACAAAAATTATATGCAAACAAGTTTTCTCTTAACGACATAGAATGCATCTGTTAAACAGACATTCTCTTATGGTTAAGTGGTAAAACATTTCACTACATAATGAACTCTAGAAATTCTTCAGATTCCAGCTTAAATTCCGGTTTTGTTCCTGGTTCCACTAGATGGTGGTATAGAGCAAAAGCAGAGACAAAAACCGGCTGGCTGCAGACTTGCTAACTTAGGCTCTCACTTAAGTGTCCTCCTAAAACTCATATCCTACACTTGTGGGAACAGCTCTGCTCCGACCAATTCAGCTGTCACCCTTCTGATGTATAGCATGATGCCTGCTAGTTTGCAGGAGTGACAGTGCCTATCAAAAAGATTAGTTATGCTTCTAAAATTAAACACATGTAAGTACTTCAGGATTGGCGCTCAATAAGATAAAGATACTAATAGCTTATATTTTGAAATCAATATAGTGTCAAATATTTTTGCAGTTTAACTGCTACAGAGTTCTCATTTCTGAATAGCATTTTCCTGAAAAATCATGACTAAAGATTAATGATTGTATTTTGAAGAATACAAATTACTTTTACAGAGCTTTTAGACCAGTTGCAAAGAGGAAAGAAAAAACAGTGAAGTAAGAAGTAATTTTCCTGCTCTTCTGGCCAATACAACACTACAAAGTAAATCTGAACCTGGGAAAACTCCTAAGACTGCTTCATGGACATCTCGTTTAGGAAACATTTCCTACCTTAGCAGGATATGAAGGTAAGAGCCCAGGCCCGTAAGAATATGCCACCATGCATGAAACTGCGTCACAGCTCCTACAACAGGAGGCATCTTCTCTCGTAGTGCTCTGTAAGAAAGAAACACCACAGTAAGAAAGAAACACCATGCAATGTTTTGGGTTTTTTTTTCAAGCTAAGCAATTTCAAATTGCAGTGCTTGATTGTCTGTTCAACACGTTACTGTTTCCATATCTCAGGCATGCACTTCACGAGGGAGGCTTCACATAGTCAGGCTTTCAGCAGATGAGGAACAGCAGTTACACCACGTATTGCCAGTGAAGAAAGATATCAGCAAAGTGGCTTTCTTGCACATTTAAAGAACACACATTCTTCTTCATACAGTGAGTGGTCAGTTACTTCTGGACTCAAATTTCAGGTAATATATTTATGGCATCCCACAGTCCTAAACAAGCTCTACCAGTCTCCTCCCTAAAACCTGGTGAACTACTGTCCATAGGATGAAATACTGAGTTTAAGGTCTGAGAGAGGAAATGGGATCCATCAGACATCACCACTCTACATCTGGCAATCACACCACCTGTTCTCCAGCTCCATGTATGCTTAGCTTCCTTTTTTTCTCTGCTCTACTCTAAAACAGGGACAAAACGGGTGTTTAGTGAGGAAGCAATCAAAGTAGAAGCTCTGAAATACTCTGCCAACATGCTTTATATTTTGCAGTTATGGGGTGTGAGATATTTGGGAAGAGGCTAAGGGATGGAGATAAAAAAAGAGAAGGAACTACATTGCTCTGATTTCTCCTGTTCAATAGGCTTCTGCAAATAACACCTATTTTAGCTGATGGTGAAGCAAATGTTTGCATCAACCCATTTTTTTTGATTTTCATTTCATATTCAGTCAAAACAAGAAAGGGAAAACGATTGCAGATGTTAAGGAAGAAAAAGCTGCAGCTTCTGTAATACTTAATTACTGCTTGATGTTATAGTGTTCAGCCCCTCCTGACTAAGTGCTAAACCCTGAGCTACTGCTTAGTTTCCAGAGCTGCCCAGTCACAATTATGACCACAGAGCTTCAATTCAGTCAGCCTGGGGATGACATAGTGGAACATACAGACTGTCACCCTGGCACAGCCTCCGAGCCCTTGGACAGCAGGAAACCTCAAAGCTCAAGTTCAAAAGTACATGGAGTGCTGCAGATGCGGGGGGGAATTTGTGTGTGTTGTGTTGTTTTTTTTAAAATAAGCTCCAAATTTGATGAAATCTAGAAAACCAAAACTGAACAGAAATACAAATTTGAACATTAAATCCAAAGAGGCAGGTAGGTGGATGATTCACAAGTTAGATCTTTAGATAATAAAAAATTGCAAGGAACTGGAATATATTTTCTCCAAAGGTCTGAGTTAAACACCACCTGGAAAAATTCAAGGCTCTGCAGACATCTGATTAAAGCTAGTAAACAAGCATATTTATTTTTTTCCAGCATCATAACCAAGTATGACTTGCAAGGAAATAAAAGAACTTTTTTTCCTTTTGCAAAATGAGGATGGAAAAAAGTGCTTCAGCAGCTGGTGTAATCTTTGAGTCTAGGATCAAGTTCAAAAGCCCCACGGACCCGCAGCAGCTCAGCACGCTTAGTGAACTTGGGGTTATGATCTCACTGGTGATGTGATGCAGCTGCAAAAATCAACCCTGAAGCCAATATCTGCGAAGTCCCTGTATACCCACCCACTTGTGTTGGCAAGTCACTTTTTAAGGCCATCTGTATCAAGTGTTTCTAGGCATGAGGCACCACGTAGTATATTCAGTACACATATACTTTTTTTAAAAAGTTGCAAGAAAACTCTGTTGGAGTTAGCTTACAATTTGCCTAACGTAGTACAAGGAACACACAGCCAAAAGGGACAGATGGAAAAGACCTCTTCACAGCATGCTGCGATCTAACCCTGACAAAGCCACCTCCTAGGACAACTCTGTATGCCACAGACTTCATGGCACAACACTGTATCAGCTGGTCAAGAGTGGATTTTCTGGATGCTGGCATCAACCTTTCCATCTCCTTCAGCAACCTTTCGGTCTGCTTGTTCCTTCTTGCACGGACAGGATATCTCCTCATATCTCATATGAGGAGATGGTGGGTTCTTACAAGCTTTGCCTGGAAGCCCTTTTTACCCTACCTGACAATACACTAAACAGAGAGGAAATATTTCATGGCCTGTTCAACAAGTGCTAAGCCAGAAGACTTGAGGCTAATAATGACAGCCAAGCACGATGTATTGGCTCACAGAGTTACTGTTCTGAGACACTCCAACAGCTGTTGTTTATTGGTAACAGATATACTGCAACAGATATTTCTTTAACCTGCAGAACTACTGCTTTTGATATTTTCCTGTGAAATGGCAAGAGCAGAAACAAAAAAAGCAGGATAAAAAACTCATTCAGATGAAATGAAGTGTGAATAGCAGACTTTAGTAAGCCACAGATCTTCAAAATTACTTCAGTGACATTACTTTCTCTCAATTTAAATTGAAGTTAAAGAGAAGTATCAATTATTTAAAAAATAAATCTATTCATGGATAAAAAACTGAAAAACTGTTGAGTGCTGAATCTAGTCATGTGCAAGCTGCATAAAACCTTTGTGAATGTTTTGTAGGCAGTGTAACATACATACTATGAGATGGACTTGAACATACACCACAGAAAAAAAACAAAGCTTTATGCTAAAAGACTATTAAGAGCTACCTGGACAAAGTGAAAGAACTCACCTCAATCTATCACAGAAAATGTTGTCCACATTCCAGAGAAAAAATCCCATTAAGAACACAGTCAATGATGTATAGCCTAGACCTCTAAGCCATGGGTATACCCTAGAGGGACAGAGAGAAATAATGCAGAATTTAGGGCAAGGTTCTTTAAAGGCAGCTTTTATGCAAGAATGTAAATACCGTTACATACAAATAAACTGCTTATTTTTTTCCAAAAGGAAAAACATCAACTTCAAATCTCATCTATTTAAGTATTGTATTTTACCGTCTCCCCTCTTCTCCTGAATTTACCTTCTCCAAGACTGGTCTTTTAAATGTCTGACTTCTATATTTCTAATTGTTCCCCTAAATACTGCTCTCTCCTAACACCAGCAGTAAGTGGGAAAACTGATGTTGGCTAAAAGGTACTAATTCTACAGTCCCATGTATAATTTTTCAGTTAAAAAATAGCCATGTCACAAATTAGGACTCTCCCAAAAGAGGCTCTTTTCCAATACATATCTCTGTCCTAGGGAACTTATTTAAATAAGGTCTTTCAAAATGATGGTAGCCTTTTGTGAATGTAGACCAACAACTAACCAAATGAATGGTTTCAGAAAACAGTAATTTCATGTTGCATTTTATCGTTGAGTGCTATTGGGGTTAAAAAAATGTCAATTTCATTTTGGGAGAAAAAATAAATCCTCTTTAGGATACGGGAAACACGCTGAAGAATCAGACGTAATAAAGTGCATCGATAATAAATTTATTAATAAGACAAGTCCAAAACCAAACCCAATTCCAACCCTAAAAGGCTGCCATGAAATACCGTTCATGTTGTTTTTTACCATTAGAGTCTGGGTTAAAACATTTTTTAAAAATTTAAAACTTAAAAAATTTAGAATATAAAACATTTGCCAAATGATAGGACAAGGGGCAATGGGAGCAAGCTGGAGCACAGGAGGTTCAATCTGAACATGAGAAAAAACTTTTTCACTGTGAGGGTACCAGAGCACTGGGCCAGGCTGCCCAGAGAGGTTGTGGAGTCTCCTTCTCTGGAGACATTCAAAACCCGCCTGGATGTATTCTTGTGTGACCGGATCTGGGTGATCCTGCTCTGGCGGTGGGGTTGGACTGGATGATCTTTCGAGGTCCCTTCCAACTCCTAACATTCTGTGATTCTGTGACACACTCATTAACCATTTTTTCTCCACTGTGTTATACAAAGCACATGTTTCAGAGCTGTGAGCACTGGCAATCAAAATATGCAAAACACGACAGGTAGAGCTCCTTCCACAGGGCAAGCTAAGCAGATACAAGCTGTACGTGTTCACAAGTGTACTGCCAATATAAACTATTATAAGTATTTGTTTTGTCTAATAAATGCATGGAGCACCATGTGGTACATGGCAGCGATTACACTGTAACGTTCCCAACTCAGTGCTCCAGAGATGTAAGCGAGTCCAGGACATGAAAAAGCACTAAATGAGTTATACATGCTGGTAATTAGGTAATTATAGCTAGAATTGTTCAGGGAATAAATGGTGGTGTTTTGTGAAGGAATGAGAGGCTGGCATCACTTATCAATGGGAACATGCTTTGTGAACAAAGGACGGCATTTGCCAAGTTGCAATCTTGGGAAGAAAACAGACCCAAGAAAGGGATGAAAACTGGGGGGGAAACAGGCAGGAACAGCAGCAAATGATGACGAGAGGAGGAGGGAGCAGCCTGGAAGGAAAAACATGCTGTTTGTTGAGATTTTTACTCTAAACTCAGAGTGACTTCAAGCCTTGCACTAAGAAATATGAGTGATGAGAAGCTAATATATGTATTAAGAAACAAAATAAGCAGAAATTTGGGTTGATCTGTAAGCTGAAACAGGCTTGGACAAGTTCCAGTGGAAACACAGGAATATGCTTTAGCAACGCAGAAGGAGTAAATCCAAAAGTGTACTTGGGGATGACTTCTAGAGAAAAGAAAGGGTATCTTCAGGTTGGTACAGCTTCTCTAGCAGAACTTAGTAGCTTAGTTCAAATTTAGAAGTAGTTTAAACCTACTTCTCTTGCACAACTTTCTCACCAGTTTGCATAATATAACCAAAGGGGGAAGCAAGTCTTTGCAGCACTATGTTGCAACAAAGTGATCTAGCTAATTAAGAAAATACACTCCTAAGCCCTAAAACTGAAGCAAAAAAGTAGATGGAATTTCGGAGACAGATTCTGCTGGAGGAAAACGAGCAGGAAAACTGATATCCCTGGGAGGGAGGGTGGTGGTGTTATTGATAGGAACCGAAAACAATAAAATGCTTCAAAAATAATAAGAGTGTGCAGAATTTGCAGAACTGGAAAGGTGGCAGGCCCAAGGGTTTGTCTACACAGAGAGAAAGAAATTTAACCTAAGTGACTGGAACTGTGCTGCATCCTTGTACAAGAACAAAATTAAAATGACCTGAACTTGATTCAGCTGTTTTCCCTGGAAGTGAATTAAGGTGATACCACTTAAGATCTCTAGGTTAGGATTAACATTTCCATGTTCATGAGTTTGAAATGTGCCTTTAAACTGTTAATTGTTTCTACAGCTGCAAGCAACACGCTATCAGTTTTAAGTTCTTGCTTTAATAATAGTCTGTGAACATTTACACTTGGTCTGTGGGGATTTTCTGGGGGAAAGTCACACCAAATTAACTGAAATTGCAATTGGAAGGCAAGTCAATGAAATCTACTTGAAATTCACACCTTTTGTTAAATTCTTCCTTGTGTTCCTGAATAGATGCAGGTTTAACTCCAAAGAAAGTAACAAAAAGCACATTTAGAATGAAGACAGTAGAGAGAAATCAGTAATTTTCAAGGGCAATCCCCAACCACAGCAGAACACCAACTGTTCACAGGGGAGAGACAGGGAGGAGCAACCAACTGAGCCCCTGAGAGCTAAAGGTATGGTACTCCAATACTGATCCAATTCCTTCTTCGTCACTTTTACCTCCCAAGTCTGTGCTCTGATGATTCTAATGCTGCTCAATGTCTCCTAACATTACTAATACCCTTTTTTTTGTTATAAATAGTTTTAATTTCAATTTCCATAATGTGTATGCAACTTTACTCATGCAAAACTGTAAGGAAAACTATCATTTAGCCTTCTGTGCTATTATCTTTTACATTTGAACTTTAGATATTTGAGTAGAGAAGAGGAGAAGAAACTATTAACTGATGGTTCAGCTCCGCATCCTTACTCTCTCTTCTCTTCAGCACCATCATAAGAGTTTGGGCATTGGCAATAGATTTCACATATTACCCAGCGATCAAGACAGAAATCCCATTTTTTCTTGAAGTGCCAGGCTAACAGATGAAGCCACAAGCAGAACACCTGGCAGTGAGCACTGATCATTAGTGTAGAGATCTCTCTTTTTTAATGTTATCCCAGTGGCTTCAAAAAAATTCAAGATGAGGCATTCCCTTTATGCATTCCCACAACACATAAGCTAGCATCATGTGCTTAGTTTAAGAAATTTTGCCATTGCTGATTTCTTATGTTAAGCCCACCAGAAAATATGCAAATGCTAAGTTATAGCTCACAATGCTGAACTAAATGGTTACTTACCATAATACTATATAAACGGAACGTAGAACTATAATGGAAACTAGTGTTCCATACATGATCTGGAAATAAAAACAGAGATAAAATTAATCAGTTAGATTCAAGAGATTTTATAAAACACTAAAGGAGTAAAACATTTTTGAAGCTACTGTTGATCTTTATTTCTTAGTGTTAGGAAAACAGCAGCCCTTCTAACTTACTCTCCAGAAAGTCTTCCATAAAACTTTCAAATAAAAGTCTGATTACAAACCATGCCTTTTATGCAATCACAGGGAAAGTCAGTTGTGTAAAAGTGCAGTTTCACTTTTTGGAACAAAAAGCAAACACTAGATGGCACTCAGCAAGCATCCTGAAATCAAAATGGTAACTAACTCCTATCATCTCTTCTGTATCTGTGCATTTTAGCCCAGCACTGAGTAAGCATCAGCTAAAACTGCTTCTGAAAGCTATACTTCTTTCACTGACATTTGATTAATATTTTTTCCTGAAAGCAAACACCTGAATAGGCTATGCACTATGCCCACACTGAGCACCAGCACAGAAGAAACTTTCCAGGAAGTATTGAAAATTAACTATAACAGATTGTTTGGATTCAATGTATTTATACAGGCAGAAGGCTGCATGCTCTGAAAAGATCCATGAGCAAAATCTGGCTCACTGTAGGCTTGATGAATTTGAATGTAATCGCCTGACTTATATAAAAAGTCAAAGTAATCATTTATTTTCTGCCTTGTGACCTTTAAAGCACTCTCCATTTTTTTATTCACAAGCTTAGGACCCACATAACAGCATCTCCAAGACACACAGACTTAAGAAGACAAGAAATGTGGTCAGTCATCCCTGAAAAGCGATGCAGAAGCCACTGCAGGATTTTCAGACACTGGTGACACTAAATTTCTCTCCGTGCTTTCCATCCTGACCGCTGTTCTCCTCCTACCAAAAGGGAGTTTGTTCCAAGCAGTTTTGCCTTGCTCTTTGCCTCCTTCCCAGTGGCCCTCAAAGCCCTTGATAGCTTATGCTTCCTTGTTCACTGACTTTCTTTCTCATTTTGCTTTCAGTTAATTCCTATCTAATGCTGCCTTGTTTTACACGAAGCTGAAAAATGACCCTTTTAAAAGCCACTACACCTCACAGAGATGCGTTTACAAACCAATGTCCTTACCATGGTCTCCTGACCTCCTCATACCTTTCTTTCTTTAAGACTATACTGTCTTCAGGCAAGGACTACCTCTTACTCTGCTGTAACTGGGGCATTCAGCTATTACTGCCCTGCAAGCATATGCACATGTCCAGCCATTTGACATAGATTGCTGCAATAACACAAAGCAAAACCTACCTTTCAGAAGTGAATAAAGGCAAATTTTCAAACTCCTTTTAGCTTTAAGGATGAGGTTAGTAGCACGCACCGTACTATCAGTGCATATTTACAGAACAAGAGAGACAACAGAGCCCTTATGTTTGACAACAGGTACAAGTAAGCTTCAATATTGACTATGCCAAGTCATTCAGCGCAGCAGCTCTTTATTTGCATTCAGAGCAAGATCAAATAACTTCAGTAACTAAACTACTACTACTGTGTGTTCTGCTCTGTAGAGCTAAACAAAGTAACACTGTTTGAAAGGCTAATTGGTTCTGGCTTGTACTTTATACAAAACCATTCGCTAATTCCAGTTTATTTGCTGGAGTATAGCGCATAAATCAAGGAAATAAACCCCAACAAAACCTGGTAGGCACAGCCTGAGTATTGAGTGCTATCAGTCCTGAGCTAAAGGCAGAAATGGGAGTGTTCAGGTGTGCTAGGTGCTGCATGCTGGTACAATTCTTTGTCACTGACATTTTGCCTAAAAACACCCCACCATATAATAAATTCAGACTACATTTAAAAGTTGAAGGCCATTTTACTTTGCCAGTCTCACTTAAAACAGTCTGTTTTGTTTTCCTAATCAAATCCAGTAATTTATTCTAAGAGAAGGTGGCACAGATAAAGAAACTCATAGAAAGGTTCCTCTGGAACCCAAACCACAGTTTGATGCCCTTTCCTTGCTGATCTCCTCCTTCCTACAGTTTCCATTGCAGCAAAGACACAGGAAAAACCTACCCACGAAGAGAAATTTCTACCATACTCCTTAGGGATGTGATCACCTTCATGCTTTTGTATCCAACGTGCTCTTAAGTTCTTTGTACAAGGAGTTAAATAGTGTCAGACTATGCCTAGAGAAGCAATGCTGATAGGCAGCCCAAAGCCCAGGTAAAACACAGGCTAAAAATGCTAATTTTTTTTCAGCAGCTGCTAAAAGCTGCTAAAAGCAGGAAAGAGCAAAAGCTAAGAAAACCTTTCTTTGTAGAGCTTCTGGCTCAGTATCTCCTAGTGAGTTGCTTAATGGCTTGCAGAAGAGGACAGTGTTAATGGAGGGAGGAAGGAGAAAATAAGAATAAAAAGAACCTTGCAGGGACTGAAGAAAAATATTCCCACAGTTGACACTTCAATTTCTTGCCTTTTCCGCTCCCCCACACAAACAGGTTGTTAGCAGTAAAACACATTCGTGTTTAAAAGCCTGTGAAAGACTGGAACAACTGTTCTGCTCTGCATGCTCCAGTCCTCCTCTTCACTCGAAGGCAGGCGTCGAGTAAGTGTTGCTGTGATGTGCAGAGCCCGTAGCTGCACATCTCGCTACAGCTGTTTCTTACTAGAGGCCCATAAACCAAGGTACACAACCAGGTTTATACTTCAGGGAGCAGTGCTTACTTTTACTCCTTTACCACCCACGGATTTACTGTTTTCATCACGCCAAAAATTTGTTAGGCATGATTCATTTACCCAAAGAAGGATAAAGTATAAAATAAAAATAAAAATATCTACCTTATTCAAGTTGACTCATTTTTTTCAATTCCTTTAGCTCTCTTTGTTCTTTTTCTTTAACTAACACATCAGTTCAGTGACAGATGAAAACCCAAGCAAATTTTGTGCTATTTTGTCTCACAGTGCCTTTAAATTGTAAGCCAAAGAACACCTTTGCACTACAATTGAAACAAAAGGAGACAGCAGAATCTCATCATCTTTTTTTATCACCAGACAGTTCTGTCTCTGCTGTTTAAGATGCAAATAAAGCTGTGTGTATTTCAGCTTTGAAGCCTGTATCTTTGCAGTGGGGTCCTATTAATACACAGTGGATTACGTGATAAGAAGACCAAATACGAAGAACATCCTTCTAATTCACAAATGGGAAGTATTTCAGGGCTAAGTGTCTGGCAGAATTTTTGTTGCGGAGACAGTTAAACAAATCATAGAGATTTACCTCTTATGCAAGTCAGAGGCAAGGTTGGTGCTCCACACTGAGGGGAGCATGCAAAACTGGTTCTTCATCTATCCTTCTAGTACAGAAAGCAGCAATAGCCTGTGTTTTCCACTTCTGTTTCATCTGCTCCTGGCCTTCTGCCCATCCTTGGTTAATAAAGTCAATTTATGAGCCTCAAATATTAGTGTACACATTGGGAACTGCACTGAGAGATTTTGGGTTCTTGGCAACCACTGCTCATCTATTAATATACCAACCAGCTATCAAAAGACAGTTAGCCTAAGTACTTGAAGTTGGAAACTGTATTTGCAATTTACAAGGAAGAAAATGGACTTCTACATCTTGGATTTCCAGAACAGAAATCTGAGCAGAGAGAAAAACCAAAGACCAATTCCCACGGCGACAATGAAACACTGAGTAACTCAGCATAGTTATGGCTCTTTAGTGCCTTGACAGCTCCTCGATGATCTAATTCAGATTCACTTGGTCTGGTCCTGTGTAGATGCACGTACTGGATGGCAAAGCGACACACAAGTCACTGCTGCTGCACAGCCCAGAGCAGCTCTCCAGAGCTTCTGGGACACCGTCTGCAGCAGTAAATTGAGCTTCCCCTTCAACGACTCGTAGAGCTGATCCTTTGGAGGGTCTGAACGTCTCTCCATGTCCCCTAAGCTACTGTGCAGGTAGAAGTAGCAGCCAGAATGAAAGCTGTACTCGCTTTCTGGAAGACATCCCCAAGCAGGCTGTGTAACAGTGAAATGTCACTTAAATTAGTTTTATATGTGGTCTTCAGAAAGTAGAAAAAGCTCTGTGCTAAAGACATGCCCTGAAAAGGTAACTTTTAACAGACTACTTAGCAACCTGAATATGTAGAAAGTTCCACTACAAAGGACAATATATTAAGCCAAAGCCTACAACTAACTGCTGCCTTAGCAGCAGGAAGGACTGTGGAGTGCTGCAGGACATCGAGTGGGTTCACACAGACTTCCCAAAATGGGGAGTCCTGTGAGTTTGAACAGGTTGTGCCCTGACATAACATATTCTTGAGGCAGTTTCAGGTTCCCCTGTGTACTCCTACATACACATTTCATCATCATGTCACTTCCTTCTTTGCATTTGTATATTTAAAACACCTGTGGAGAACAACTGTATTCATTTTTTTCATTGAGACAAATGAAGTACACTTTTCTTCCACACTCACTCTCTCCCTCTTACTCAAAGTCACCTTAAGTGATAAAGCCAATACTTGTATTTTACTTCTATCACTGTTGCAGAAAATTCACTAGGCATATTATTATGCTGTGATCAGCAAGCACATCCAGGCAATCCTTCCCTCCCTCCTGTGCTGATGTGCACCATTTACAACAAGAATGTTTGTTATTTGCCCATCCTAGTACTCAAGGTCTCCCAGTTACCTCTTCATCTTTGCCTCTGTACTCAGCAATACCTCTGAACTTTGTATCATCACAAATATCATCAGTACACAACTCATTTTCCTGTGACAGGTAATTAAAAGTCTCACTACTGATCCCAAGAAAGTCTAGGCTGAGAGTGCCTTTCATCATCTCCTTTAGTCATTTTCCACTAGTCACTCCCTTACCTTATTTGCAATTCTTATACTGATCTACTTCACCTTGCTCAGTTTCTCATGGGACACCATAACAACTCTTCCAGAATGTCTACGCAAAAGACATTTTTAAAATCACATTTCCTGATGTAGAAGAAACAGCTATTTAATCTAATTTTCTCTTTACCTTTTAATTATTTGTTTGCTCAAAATTTGCTTCAAACTCCTACAGCAGATGACTATGCAAATAAAACAGGTTTTTTAGTTCAATTTCATTATTTACCTAACTTGCTGAATGAGGTTTTTGATCTCCAGAAGTGTATAGCCAGCTTATGGTATGTAGCAAGTAAACAAATCAGGATGGATAACAATGTTTTGTAGGTGACAGCTTTCTAGGCCATATCATATTACAAAGAAGGCTATTTGTAAGGCTTGAGTCTTATAGAATCATAGAATGGTTTGGGTTGGAAGGGACTTTTAAAGCTCATCCAGTCCAACCCCTGCAGTGAGCAGGGACAATGTTACCAGGTCAGGTTGCTCACAGCCCCATCACGCCTGACCTTGAATATCTCCAGGGATGGGGTCTCCACCACTTTTTCTGAGCAACCTGTGCCAGTGATCTACCACTCTCATATTGAAAATCTTCCTCCTAATATTCAACTTAAATCTACCCTTTTCTAGTTTAACACCATTACCCCTTGTCCTATCGCTTTATTATATTTGTGTGTCTACAGATCACTCCACACCAGCAGCCAATGTTCCTCCACCCCATTCCTTATATAAGCACAAATACACATGCAGTAAACAGGGGTGAGCAACTAATTTGATCGACAATTATTTCTGAGGAGAGTTTTAACTATGGAGTTCCTCAACCAAATTCTCATCATAGAGTAAACGTGTGCCAGGTGGGAAAGAGGGGAGAGGCATAGCTGTTTTCTCTGACAATGATGCTGGCTTAAAAACAGCTGGGCAACTGGGATGCAGGGTAGCTTAGCACCATGGAAATTAGGCAATAATAGAGCTCTAGAGTGAGTGATTTTGACATAAACAAGCCAATACATGCTTGTAAAGGCCACTGCTATCTTTCATTTAATTGATGAGGTGGCCAAAAATACCAGATCAGTTGTCAGGCAGGGAAGTGTTTTTTTTCCTTCTAATGATGTGTAGACTCCAGCTGACCATCTCATCCCTCCTACGGTCAAAGCATTAAAACCCTTAAAGATCTGCAATGTGTGGATGGAAAAAAAAAGAAGTTGGTCTCTGTGCCATGAATAACAAACTGAAATCCCCTCCATGCCCTGCTAGCAGTAAGTAATTTATGAGCCTAAGTTGGGAAGGAAAGTAGAAAGTAATTCACTGAAAAACGAGTCTTGGATCCTGGCTACTAAATATAATAGGATTCTTTCCCATTCTTATTGCTCCCCTTTCACAGGGGAAACAAATCCCACACTGAAACAATGAACAATATAAAGCTGTCCATGTAGTTATTCCTCTTTTTGCAAGGCTGACAAATGATGATGATCACAGACAAATACCTAGAGGAATCAAGTGCTGCTTTACGTCCTGACGCTGCTTTCCAATACAGTTAGGGACCAAGACTGTGATTTAAACAATGATTGCATGAGCATTTCTAACTTAACTTCAAGTCTATGACTCACTGAAACTGTACTGAGAATTTTTTTTTGGTGCATGCTAAAATAAAGGACAAGCATTAAGAAAATAGCCTGGCTTATCTGTACAGTCAGAGAAATGTTTCCTCTGGATTTACAACATACTTGGCCAAGATTGTAAAAAGTGCAGTACTTGAACGTTTGGAAGTTGGCCATAACTGTATGTTCTCCATAAAAATCAATTTGGCAAGAGTTGTTGTAACAAGTCCAGCACTTCTACTGCCTAAATCTTTTCTATTCCTCATGTATAAATTATAACAGGGAATTCATATTCTGAACCTAAGAGAAACTAGATGCAAAAAAATGAAAGGTCTGGGGCAAGTTTTAAGTTTCCCTATTTCTCTCTTTCCCGACAAGTCACAGTATCTATCACCTTAGTATCTGTGACATGGGACAACACCTATGCCAATGCGTCCAACTGGAATATAGTCAAGCTGTGATATATTTATTGCAACAAAAGTTGAGTAAATAATTGGTTAAAGCAATACAACTCCAATATCAGTAGTAAATTCTGCTACTGTTGTTAACGAAATTACTTTAAGTTACTTCATTCAAAACCAATTATAACCAGCTCACTAAAAGTATCAGAAATTGCTGCTTTCACCCCAGCGGAAATGTAGGTAGGGGGAAAAAAAGAGAAGATTTAATTAATGTTATCAAAAAAACCCTGCAAGTTTCTCTTTTTATCTATAGATAGGGTAACAACCTCATGCTTCTAGGAGAGATTACTTGGAACTGCCAGGAGTTTATTTTATTCATCAACACTTCACCAATCCAGCAACAGGAATCATGTATCATTTTTACAACTGCTGATGCAGCAGGCACATTTGACAAGCGATGGCACTCCCAGTTTCAGAAATAAAAGCTTTAAAGCTCCGTCCTGCAAAGAGCTCAGTGCTTTTGCTTGGCAATTTTTCAGCTGTTATCCCTAATCAAAAAATCATAAATGAGAGAAAACTACTCATGGCATACATAAATGAGCACAATTTCTAACCTCCCATGAAGAGGCAAGCGATACAAGTCCTATCCCCACCAACACTGGATGCATACTAATGCTTTTGAGCTGATAAGAAAGGAACATGTACCAAAGACGCCATTAAGCCTGTAAGACCAGAACAGCCAGTCTGCTACATAACCCTAGAAGACACTATGTTTAAATTCAGCTTGAATTTAACCAAAGTAAAATTCAGTACTTAAAAACAAAAATACTTTAAAGTGAAGAACATGGTGCTAAGTCACACAAGGCTTCTTAGGATGCCAGGTCATAGTTTCAGAGCAGCTGCTAATGGAAAGCAGCAGACAAGGACTCATTAAGCCCTCCCTCTCTCACACACCTTAGCCCATAGCAAGGGTCACCTCATTACACTTGCCACTGATGAAAACCACATGAAATATTAGGTCAAACGCTAAACCAAAACGTGCATTAAATCATTCTTGTTTTTCAGGTCACCAAGTAAAAGGATAGCAACACAACAGGCAGCAATACTGCTTAAAGAAACAGCAAAAGGCAAATTGTGCTTGCCTTCCATCTACAAAATTTTGTAAAACATTCCACTAAAGCAGCATAGTTTAAAAGCAAGATTAGCTTCTCCAACAGAGCAAGATTTACCTGATGGAATACAGGCTCTTTCAAATTCAAGTAAACCTGGAAAGATTAAAAAAAGAGAAATAATTTGCACAGAACGACCATAACATTATTCATCTAAATACTGCCAAGACTTGTGCTGCTAGAATCAAGACACAAGTACCTATCCATGCACCATTAAAGTTGATTAAAAATACAAAGTTTCCTTTGGCAATGCCAGAGGTTTTAACTGTGGAATTGTTTTAAATTAAGAAGCATGAATAGTGACATTAACATCTAAAATCTCCTCAATTTAATGGAGTTACAACACATATAAAAACAATTAAGCTGCAGAAATTATCAGACACATTCTCAATATGCATTGCAAGGAAAAAAACATACTCTGATTTGCTACGATTAATGTTCTTGACAATGCTTTAACACTTCATTTTACAAAAAGCTAATAGTTCTTCCTATTGTTAATGCAGTTCATTTCTGCTTTTGAAGAAGGGCATTAGATCTTAGGCAAAACATGCCACAAATGTAAAAAAATTAGGAGGCACAGAAGTGACCAGGCAAGTATTCTGAAGCCAGAAGATGCCCTGTAACACTTCCTTTTTAAGAAATGGTCCTTCTTGACTGGAAGTGAGAGAGATTCAGTACCACCTTTAATGCATTCCTTCACTGGCAGGCAAACTGTCAACAGGTGAAAATGCTCTATTAGAAAATGTTACTTACTATGCTGACTATGAAGCTGTATGTTATTAACAAGAAAAGCAGCGGATAATTGACTGTGTTCTTGTACTTGAAACATTCATACCTGGAAAAGAACATAAAGGAGAGCGATAACATTCATCACCTGGCATATAAAGAATGCATTTTTCAAGATATATTAGCACAAAATTTGTGAGAAAATTGATCCCCAAAAATCTCAGGCCCTTCAAGAAACTGTAGCTTCTCCAATAAAGATGCTTCAATTTAATGTTTAAAAAATAAAATCACACTTTTACCAATAAATGTTCTCTTAAAAAAAAATAGTGCGAAAACCTCTAATAAGCATCTACAAAAAATAACCCATTCAGTGGAAAGAGTTTGGGAAGCAAAAGCATTCTCAGAAGGTGCTTTAGGGGTGATAATGGATGGCAAATTAGAAATGAGTTTAAAATGCAATACAGCTGCTAAAAAACATTACATCTGTGAGCTGAAGGCAGCGTGGGAAAGGGACTGTCTTACAAAACAGTGATCTCTGGAGATCTGTTAAAACACAGATTGTTTATGGCTTTACTACAGTCACAGTGCAGTACATTTGCTAGATTGGGTACTGGTAGTAATGGAAAGCAAAACCAGCTAATTGCTCCCAGTATGCAAAATAACTAATTAAAATTAACTTCACAATCTCTACACTATGCTTCAGTCACAGTTGTGATTAAATTACACGCACATATCCCAGCCTGTATCTCCATCAGAGAAAAAAGGTCCAAAAATACCCAACAAAAATTAACTTGGAGAAGCACAAAATCATTAGGGTTAGAGGAAATTATCTATATAACTCCAAGTTACATCTGCCTGGTTATTTGTTTATAAACTTTTGGAAACAGGCACTATCACGGGCGAATAAAAGGGAATAACAAAAAAACATGTAGGATTATCTGGGGGAAAAAGAAAAATCTACAAGGCAGCACAATCTCCTACATTGCAAAATAGCTTGACAAAGTAATTACACAGCTGAGAGTGGGTAGGACTGAATGATATATGAGGGAATGTCCTGTGCAGAACCACCCCACCACCTCCCTTCGAGAAAACCAAACCAATTATTAAAGGTCTCCTAAACTGAACATTAGCTAATTCTTCTGAACATTTTAATTACTACCGAATAGACATACACAGAATCTTACTAGAGCCATAAGTGCAGTAACAGACTTCAGCACTTCTGAAGGTATGTCGATAGAATAACCATTGCACAATATAAGAGTGATTATTTTTTCAAACAGATTTTTACAGCCATTTCTCATCCTTTCCCCCAGTTGCATTTAAATCAGACAAAAAAAAAATGCAAAAGCAATTTCAAGGAGATAGGGAGCTACAATGGAGAAATTTCCACTAACAGAGGTATTATGATTCTGAGTTCGCACAAATCATACTAATGTATGAATCTCAAACTGATGGTAATTTCCACAGACATGTGGACACTCCTAAAGCATCCCATCTCCATTGCAAGCTACCAGTAATCTTCAGCAAAGATATTCCAATTTTCAATGGCTGAATATCTGATTCATTCAAAAGCAAAAAGATGTTTTTTTGGTCTTTTTGTCTGCAACAAGTTGATTTTACCATTTGGATTTTCCAAGTGACAGAACAGATCATGTTAAATCCAGGCCTTATGGTATCTTTACCAAATACTACATTGCTCCCAAACTTAAATGGGAGAAAACATCCTGGCACGGCATCAAAGTGTCATGCACGTTCCAAGACGCTGTCCACAAAATATGCACTCAGCTCTTCACAAAGTCTTTTTTCTTTAATTTGCCAGATAAGTAAAAAGCAGGTTTAACCAGAAATCTGGAATTTGCATTTGGAGTCAGACTACATCATAGAAATGCAGCTCAAATAAATGACAACGTTCATAATTTTATAGGCATTACTGAAGTTGATTTTATTATGTCTGCTGTTTACTTACCAAGTAACTCTGGACTCTGGCTGTATACTACAAAATGTCTTTAACAAGAGGGTTTTTTTTTTTCCCCTGCTAAACAAACACTGGTAAAACATCTCCAAATTAGCAAAAACTAGGACTAAAGCCAGGCTGGTGCTCTAATGGCCAAGTCATAACGCTGTACTGCAAGCAAAATTGGCACCTCACTGAAATCAGTAGAAGCTTCAGTGTCAGCCTCGCTATACGCTGGATTGGGCTTCACAGATTCTACGTTTCAAAAGTTATTTAATAAATATTAATAAAAAAACATTTAACAAATACTTACAGGCAGTAGACAAACACACAACAACTGTATATCATTGGCAGTTCATCCAACAGCTACAAAAAGCAGAGACATCAAAACATGAAAACTACTTTTAACTCACTGACTTGTGTAAATTAATTAAGGAGAGAAAAGTCTTAAAAAAACAGGAGGTTTTAAATCATTTGGATATCCACCTTCTTGACTGTACTTCAGTACACAGCAGTGTCACATCCTACTCAACTACTGAAAGCTTCCTGCATTAATAGGCTTATTGAGTATCTTTTGAGTATTACGTCTCATAAAAAGCCCACGCATTCAAAGGATCACACCGTTTTTGCTGATTATACCTCTTGAAACAATCATAAGAATTAGCTTCGGAAAGTCAGATTGAATAAGGCCACATCATTTATAGCCTGCTCAATACAGCCAGCAGCATTTTCTTACTTCTGTGAAAACTTCATAGAGAAACTGAAATATTATTCTTTCCTTAACATAAAATAGAACCTTACCCCATTAGGAAGCACCTTGCAATGTGCTTGCATGTTTACTTCCTAATTTTGCAAGTTTCTTACACTGTTTTAATTCAGATACAGTTGGGTGGGGGTATTTTTGTTTGTTGTGGAGTTCTTGGTTGGCTTTTTTTTTCCCCAAAATTATGACTTCCATATCATGTTTTACTGTCTTAAGTAATTTTTATGCTTTGGGAGAAGGCTGGCATGTTACAGTTAAACCAGTTATTTCTCTAGAACTTGCCACCTTAATGGAGATCTAATTAAAATAGTAAACACAAGAGAAGTGATTTCTTAAGAACAGGTATGCTCAAAATTGCCATTTATTTATCACTAGAGGGGAAAAAAAAAAATCATAGCATCATTTTCTTCTAAACGTTTTCTCAAAGAATATTAATAAATTTCTGCTCATAAATATACAGTTACACTTACCTCCTCTTATGAAGGACTGAAAATAATGAAAAACAAAAGCATCCACAAAGGGACCAATGAAGATCCACTGCCTCTGGTTTCTACTATGTTAAGCAAATGTTCATAGTCAGACATCTTAGGATCATTACACCAGGTTTGACTCTTTC